TGTCTCTACCACATTGGCCTTGTAAATGAACTCCTTGTTTATCCTTTAGAGCCTCCTTATTTTCTTTTGAGAGTTCAAGAAGAAACCCTGAGAACTAGCCTGAAGGACGATCCCCACCTCCATCATGTCGACTGAGTCAAAAGTGTCAGCATACAACGTATACTTCTCCATCAAGTATTTACGATAAACCCTTGTAGTCGCCAGGGCATCGACTAGGAGCATTTTGAAACAATTGAGTCAGGCTCTTCACTACAATCCCCCAAGAAACTCCGGGACATATATTTAATTGGCCCCACTTTGGCGATCTCTTTACCACTCCACCTCTTTATGAGGCCTCCTCCGACTCATCTTCTTACTAGGAAGATTTGCGAAATAATTGATTAAAATAAAATAAAGATAAAAAAATATATGATATTGGAAGTTTTTCATTAAAAAAAAAATGCAAGGTCATAGGCTAAAAAACCTGTCATTTTGGTCATGATATTATTCAATGGATTAGGCTGAGTACAAATCCAACAATAATTTATGATTTTTCCAAGACTTTCATTTGTTTAGATCAAAATCAATGAACAAATATTCTCTTACAATGTTATAAAAAGTAAAAGATTTATAAGATAAAGGGAGAATTGCAGTCATGTCCCAAAACTTTTCTTTCTTTTTGTAGACTTTACACGAATATTTTATTTGTGCCAACCACTATTCTAAACCTTTCATTTCATTACAACACAAGGACAAATGGATGAATTTGATCATAAGTTTATCCTGAAAAATAATTTTGACAACATTATTAACTATTTTAATAACAATAAAGGTAAAATGATAACTTTGCATTTTAATACATAAAATAAATTAAAATTAGATTATAAAACCAAAAAAAAAGGGGAAATGAAAGGAAAGAAAAACCCATCTTCTTCTCCTCACCGCCACCCACCCCACCTCACCTCACCTCACCTCAAAAATCAGTCCAAAAAACCTGAAAAATCACCGCCCATTGCAGGCCACAGCCGCTGCACCTTAACAGCCACCACAACTTTCTCAGCAATATCAAAACCATTCTTCTTCTTTTCCCCTTTCTTCGAATCTCTATTCATAACAAAGGAAAATTTTCCCCTTTTGAAATCTTCAAAAACAAATAGAGTGCATAAGAAACAATCAAGAATTTTGAACCTATCAATAAGATTACAAATCTCACCCGTTTAAGTAAAATGATTTGTTCTTCAAGTGGCCTAAATTCGCATAAACACAAAATCGCATAAAAATTCCGAAGTTAGTCAAAATAGACTGTGATTGTTTCACTGGAGAATGCTTACTGCTTGATGCTGAGTTCCAGCATAATTACTAACACAAGTTAAACTTGTACTCCGCATGAACCGTCAAAATGACTTGGAAAATTTTTGCTTTTCATCTAATTATGTAGGAATTTTCTTTGAACATTTGCCAGAGTCGAGAATGTGAGCGTACATTGGTAAAGGAAGAGGAGGTGGTAGTGGTGTTGAAACTTATGGCGTCGCCCTTTTTGACAGTGCCGTCGAGAGCTCCTTCCCACACTTGGACTAAAAAATTTCAGTTGCCATTCGGGGTTTTTGAAAACATAAAGGTACGATGACGGTGGTCGGAGATGGTCTGCAGTTTTTTGATTTCCTGCTTTGGGTTTGGGTAGGGTGAAGATAAAAGTGTCAAGACGGACGGGTCGACCGACCCATGACCCGAGCGGACGGTTAACAGGTCTAGGAGGTGTGACCCGCGGGCTTCACGGGTTGCACCTTCACGGGGTGCGATTAACCTATTGGCCCGTGAAAAAAAATTAAAAAAATTTGAAAAAAATGGGGAGGTGCCAACCTAGTTGGGAT